TGAATATACTTATTGAATGGTTATGCCAGACACAGGTTCAGATACTGGGGCAACAGCCGTGAACAAACAAAATCCCTGCCCCTGTAGAGCTTGCATATTACGCTGGTAGAATGAAAAAATCTGACAATTGAGACTTGAGTGTTTTAACTTGTTGGATGCTAAGAAGAGCCACAGATTCTCCCCCCAAACGGGGGACAAGAATAGAGAATGCCACATGTAGAAAGAAGGGTTTTCAATATAGAAAGGGAGGGGGGTCCTAGGAGGCCTCACTGATCAGAGGACATTGTTGTAAACATAAGAGGGAAGAAATGAGCCATGTGGGTGGATTTCTGGTGTAAGAGAGACAAAGCTACAATATGGCCAGGGTGAAGGCCCTGGAATGGGATGTTCTGATGAGTTTGAAGTTAGTACCACTAGAGAAGAGTGGATGAAAGCTCTGTCCCTGAGGATGGTGACAATGTCCACTGAGTTTTCTGAAAGCCTCCTCATGTGTCATTTCCAAAACGTGGGGTGACAATAGAATACCATGTTACTGAATGGTTCCCTCAAACCTAGATAAGTTAAAGGAAGCATGAGAGCAAGCCTGGGCCAGAAATCCAGATACCTATTATCTTGAAGGACACTGGCTTCCTCTTATGAACACTGGGAACTAGGGCAAGTTAGCATTATCTGTAGAAAGCTTCTTTCTTGCACGTATGCCAGGACGGTTGCTCCTTGGTGTGCTGGTCACGTAAGCAAATTGAGCAAGTTAATGCTGATGTCACTGCTTCTGCAGCCCTAGGTATAAAACCTGCTCTGAGTGGGGACAATGCAGAACTGAGAGCACTGTGGAAAGAATACATGTCACACTCGTCCAGCTGCTCACCACTGGACAAAATGCTGTGAGGGAGTGTAGGCAGTGCTTGGCGAAGCCCCTTCAGGGATGGAGGTGCTCTCTGTTTCAGCCCACTGCCATTGAACTCTTCTTGGAACTGTCACTGATCTCTTGTAAGCTTGTCCCCAATAAATCATATGTCTCTCTCACTATTTCCTGGCACTTTCTTTGGCTTCTCTGCAACCCACTCCATTGCCCTGGCACAACTGGGCAACGGATGTGACCCCAACCCTGAAACCGTTTTATTTGCCATCTCATTAACCTCAAAATGTCCCAGAAATTCTGCATCTTCCAGCGTGCCTGCTTCTTGGAATTGAAAGTCTTCCAATCTCTGTCCCCCTTCCCAATGTACTCTGATTTGGGATTTAAAAGATGAGGTCCAACCATTAATCCCTAAGTGCTGACCACTGGGGCACTATGATGGGCTATTGAGAGAACAACATATAACCCACGAGTTCACCTCGGACTTTATGAATGACTGTAGGGAAAATACACACGTATACATGGGTGAGCACATGCACACATGTACACATGAGCTCTCACGCAGGTGCGCGCACACATACACCTGAAGAAGCAACTGAGTCAAAAGGAAAAAATATGGGTTTTTTTTTTCCAATGGACTTTTTGAGCTCACATTCTAAGATCAGAGTCAAAACAAGAAACAATGAGCAAGTTCATTGCAAGAATTCCCCTATGTCAGTTTTGCCTACTTCACTCCTAGAGCCACCAGAAGAATGCAGCTCCCATTGATGGTCAGTTACCCTTCCTGTTGGAGTCAGAAGCCCAAGAACTCTGTATGTGCAGGATTCTGTCTCTCATCAATATCACACCCTCAGTGAGCTCAGGTCTCCGGGTTTCAAGTACCACCTGTGTGCTTCCGCAGCCAGAGCAGAGACCTCTCCCTGAACATCAGCTGCCATATATCCCACGGCCTACACTTTATCTCCTCTTGGGTCTCTAAAACATCTCCAGTGTCACATGTCCCTACATGAGCCACTGATTTCTCCCTTCCACCTGCTCCTCACCTTCCTCATCTTGGTGGATGGCAAGTCTGTTCTTCCCACTTCTCTGAACCCAAACTTGAACCTTTCCTTGCCTCCTCTTTCTCTCACACCACATATCAATTCATCAGCAAATCCTATCAATTCTTTCTTAAAATATATCTGCAAGCTGCCCACTTCTCACCACCCTCCACTGATGCCACTTTGGTCAAAGTCAATAATGTCTTGACAGAACCTGGGAGAAGTTTGGTCTTCTGCTTCTGCCCTTCGCTCCCCACTGGCCGATTCTCAACCTAGCATACAGAGGGATTCCAGTTAAAGCCCAAGTCAGGTTGATTCTCTACTCAGCTCAAATTCTGCAAAGGCTCCCATCTCACTTGGATGGAAAGCCGAGATACCTTCGGTGCTCTCCAAGGAATGTCCTGCAAGATTCTCCACCCTCACCTCTCTCACTCCATCTCCCATCATGCTCCACCCTGCCTGCTCTGCTCCAGCCCTTCGCTGTTCCTCAAGCCAGGCACACTCTCACCTCAGAAACTTCACATTTGTTATTCTCTGCCTAACACACTCATCCCCAGGTAGCTGTATAACCCTCTCCCCTACACAAAGGCTCAATCTCTCGTGAACCCTTTCCTTACCATTCAAGGTTATTTTCAACCCCCATCTGTGCTTAATGTTTTCTCCATAGCCCTTGTCACCATCTGACTCACTGTGTATTTTAATTAATCATCTCTTTGTCTCCACTATTAGCATGTAAGCTCCATGAGACGCACACTGTTTTGACTGCTTTATTCATTGCTATAATCCCAGTTCCCAGAACAGTTTGGCACACAGTAGGTGCTGGGTGTGAGTTGAAGGGAGTTTTGCAGTTGAAGGAGCGTGCCACACCTGCTCCAGCATGCCCTCCCCAGTGGCTGGAGCACAGTGCTATTGTGGGAAAAGGAGGGGCTTACATGCTGTCATCCTCTTGTTTTCAGGAGAGCAGGGTACGTGGTTCCTGGGAAGGGAAGGAGAGTCCAGTCCAGCCTGGCAGATCACCTGTAGGAGGCTGAGGGCACAAATATCCAGGCAACTCCTCCCCTCTATGTCACAAGTGCAGCCTTTCTGCACCAGGAGGGAATACTCTTTCCTACTCCTTTGGGTGGGGAAAGAATTCTTCCTATGAATGAGATTCAAATCGGAACTCTTGGGACATTCCTGTTTTGATTTGGTTCTAGCAGTGACGCCTTCGGGTTGTGCAAAGCCTGGGAACATTGAGGGCATTAGGACCAGGAGCGAGACGCTCGCTTGGCTCTGGGCTGTGTCTGGCAGAGGGCTCTCCGCTGAGCAGAGCTATGTGTGAAAGGAAATCAGGCACTGCCTGCCGGCTTTACATCTGTTGATCTGACCTGACTTGAAGCGTCCAAAGAGGGACGGCTGTCAGCTCTGCTGCACTGAGAACCCACCAGCTCACCCCAGACATCTCATAGCAGCCTGACCATTCATGCAAAGGGGGAAAGAAACACATGGGACTAAACACCTGAGCAGAATGGATTCATTTTTTTTTCCCCAAGGAGAAAAACAGGGTAAAAGGGGAGCAAGCAACTCAGTTTAAAGTCCTTGTGAGTGGGCTCTCTGAAGGCAATTAAAGAAAGCCACGCAGAGGACCTGGGGTGAAACTGGAGTCCTGTGGACTTTCTGATAAGTGGAAGCAGGTTTTACACATGCTGTTGGCAAATGTCAGATGGGAAAAAAGGAGCAGGTTAAGTGACTGGCAAAAGAAACTTCCAGGTGGAATGAGCAACCAGGTCCTGCTGCAAGCTTGAAGGAACCTGGAGCCGGATGAGAAAGCAAACTTGAACATGACCTGTTGCATCTGGCAAGTTGTAGCAACATGCTCCTAAAGAAGCGGTACAGGCATGGACCGTGCAGACTTCAGTTCCTCCTGCTGTTTCTGATGCTGGGATGCATCCTGATGATGGTGGCCATGTTGCATCCTCCCCTGCACACTGGGCAACAGGCTCTCACAGCCCAGGCCATCAAGCACACCCCTGAAAGCCGGTACCACCTGGACTTTGGGGAATCTCAGGAATGGGTCCTGGAGGCTGAGGATGAGGGTGAGGAGTACGAGCTCCTGGAGGGCCTGCCACCCTTTATCTCGCTGCGGGAAGATCAGCTGCTAGTGGCTGTGGCTTCACCCAGGGCCAGAAGGAATCAGAGCCAGGTCAGGAGAGGTGGCAGCTACCGGCTCATCAAGCATCTGAGCAAGAGGCCAGATGAGGAAGCCCCAGAGGGGGACTGGGGGGCCGAGGAGGAGGATGGGGAAGTATCAGAAGAAAAGGAGATGACCCCACTCAGCCTGGACTCGCATGGCCTCAACGAGGCGCTCAGTGCCCGCCTGCCTCTTCACAGGGCCCTGCCCGAGGTGCGGCACCCGCTGTAAGTAAGGCCCTCTTTTTCCCTTTTCTGGTGTGGTGGGATCAGGCGGCAGCAGAGTGCAGGATGCTAAGCCTCCTCTGTTGCTAGGGGAGTGCTTCTCAAGGTGTGGTCCCTGGGGCAGCATCTGCCTTGCTGATGAGGCACTTGTTAGAAATGCTGATTCTCAGATCCTATCTCAGACCCCGGGAGGTGGGGTCCAGTGATCTGTATCTAACAAGACCTCCGGGTGAGAGCCACTCTCCCGGGAGAACAGAAAGTGAGGAGTTCTTGCTTGTTCATTCTCTTCCCTGCCCTAGGCTCTTGCCTGTCTCTAGATCCTCAGGTCACACAGTTTTATCTGTGTAACACACAAAGAAGGTTAGAGCAGATGTTCTCCATGCACTGTCCAGTTCTAATGCTCCAACTCCAATACATTTTTACATGAAGCTTATTGTTAGTGTTTGCTTTTATTTTGGATCAGAATAACAATTGCTTTTTAACATTTATGTGGCTCTTGCCATGTGCCTGGTTTTAATTTAAGAGCTTTCCATGTTCTAACTCATGAAGTTCTATGAAGTCCCTTACCACTCTGGAGGATGGGTGCTAGTATTAGCATCCTGCTATTTTTATAGGAATGAAAAATAAGGCATGGAGAGACCAAGTGGCTTTCCCACAGTCATAACTAGTACATGCCAAAGCAGGAACTTGAATTCAGCATTTAAGCTTCAGACTGCCTAAACCACCACTCTATGCCACCCTCCTTAATGTGCTAGACCAAGGGACTACTTCCAGTGCTTCAGAGCTAGACTACTGTGCTGACTGCAGCTTAACCTGTCCCAGCCCCAGGAGGCAAGCTGAGAAGTGTGCATGACATGCAGATCTGTGCCCAGGGAGATGGTAGGCTCATGCTTTACATCCTGGCCCTCCCTTACTATGGCTGGCCAAGGGGAAGGGGGTGGGGCACTGCTTACCAGCCTCCAGGAGCAATGCAGCTGGTTCGTTTGGGTGATCAAAGGCACTTCCCTAGAAGTCATGGCTCTTCCCAGAGCTCAGAGGGTTTCCTGGAAAGCAAACATATCCTGTAACCCCTTGAAGCAAGAGGATATGTGTAGAGCAGCAGCTGGGAGTAGTGCATATGCTCCTCCGATCCCTGATTGGTCCCTCTCAGGCTTGCTGCTCTGCCACTCAGGCTCAGGGGCATGCAAATGCAGGGTCAGCACCTGGGTGTGAGCACCTCCTTAAATTGTGTACTCTAGTGCCTCATCACCTCACCCGGGTCTTCCCATCCCTGCTGCTCTGACCACAGGCCTTGGCTTATAAAGCACTTTTCAGGAAACTCCCACCCCATTCCAGTTTTGTGCTCTCAGCACCCTGGAGTTTAGGACTTAGTACAACTGAAGCTAAATGGTCATTGATGTATTTATTTGTTCAATGTCTGCTTCCCCTGCCATGCTGTGAGCCCCAGAGAGGTTAGCACTGAATTTGTATTGTATATCCCAGCATGCAGTAAAGAAATGGTTGCTGAATAAAGGAACAGTTTTCAATTTTTTTGATGCATTTTCCCATTGACTACAGCAGGAAGAATATCCTCATTTTGCAAATAAGAAACATTATCTCAAACAAGAGACTTTGGCTATCAAAGGAGTGTGCATGTATGCTATGCATGTGTGTGTTTGTGTTTGTGGGTGTACTGCATATTGTATGTACATTGTGTTGTGTATATATTAAATAGAAATGCATGTATGTTGTGTGTAGTGTATGTGAATTGTGTATTGTGTGATTCCTGTGTGCTTGGTGTATGTCATGTATGTGGCACGATGTGCACTTATTAGAGCTGTGTGGTGTGTTGTCATACGTGCATGCATGTTGTGGATGTGCTTGTGTCCATAGTAATAACATACATGCACTGTGTCCATGTGTGTTTGATGTGGTGCTTGTCTTGCATATGATGTATGTGTGCAGGTGTATCATGTTGTGACCATGTTGCATGGGTATGACATGCTTGTGTGTGTACTGGGTGAGTGTGTATATTGCATGTGTTACACGTTATAAATGCATTTTGTAAGTGCTAACTGCAGCTTAGCCTGCCCCAACTCCAGGAGGCAAGTTGGGAAGTGTGCATAACATGCAGATTTGTGCCCAGGGAGATGGTATGCATGAGTAACACACACACGTATTTGTGCAAGTTTGAATGTGTATTACTCATGCATCCTGAAGAAAATGAATGTACTGTATGTACATAGTACACAGTGGGTAAATTTTGTGGCTTGTGCACTGTGCACAGGTATGCATATTTTGCATGGATGTAATATGTGTATATTGTGCATGTTATGCATTTGGTGTAATGAGCATATGTATTGTGCCTGTGTGCATACGCACACATTGTGATGTAATGTTTTGCATGTGAATATGGTACGTGTGTGCAAATGTATTTGTTTTGACTGCGTTGCACATTTGTATTGTGTGAGAGTGTTGCACATGTGTTATAAAAGAGCTGTGCAAGCCGGCACGGTTGTGCATGCCTGTAATCCCAGAGGCCCGGGAGGCTGAGGCAGGAGGATTGCAAATTCAAAGCCAACCTCAGCAACTAAGTGAGGCCCTAGCAACTCAGTGAGACCCTGTTTCTAAATGGGAATGTGGCTCAGTGGTGGAGTGTCCCTGAGTTCAATCCCTGGTACCCCCACCCCCCAAAAAAGATCAACAATGCTACATGTTATGCCTGTGCTATGATGCACATGAGTGTGGGATAGGTAGGTGTGTAAGCATGTGGTACAAGTGGGTACATTTTGTGCCAGGTGTGTTTGGGGTGAGCATGTATATGTGTGCATATGTGTGTGCACCACTTTGGAGGCTACTTCTTTCAGCCAGAGTAACCGACTGGTTTTAGTTTGCCTGGGACTGTCCCCATATGAGCATTGAAAAATCCCTGGCAGTGGGGAAACCCCTCAACTCCAGGCTATGCAAGACAGTTGTTCTCTCCACCCCAGCTTGCCAGGCCTCCCACAGCCACCACTCTGTGTGGAGGTGTGCATCGCCCTCTGCTGGCCTCCACCGCTATGTGCAGACAGGTCTCGCCCCCAGACTCCTCTATTTCCATTCCGCAGGTCACACCACGACACTCATTGATAGGACAGTTCCTGTGAAGCTAGGCAACAACGCCCACCCACTCTCCTGCGCTCTCCTCCTCCCACCGCTCTCCTAGACTCTTAAAACGGGGTCTAAATACAAGATACGAAAGAAATAGCCATGCATTAAGCATCTACTGTATGCGGACCCTGTACCACCGCTTTTCCGGCTTTCCCACCAGGGCTGGGGGAGAGAACAGGTTCGGAGTCGCTGCCTCCTGCGCAGTGTATTCGGTGCCTGCCCCAGAGATTCTTGCAAGCCCATCCAAACTCCTTATCCAGACACGCATCTCTGGCCTCAATTCTTTCAAAAGAACCCCCACACCCGCCCTGGCCTTTGTCCAGCCCCCTGGCTGGGACCCAGGCCTTCTCTCTGAGTACCCCTGGAGTTCAGTTTGAATAGGGGACTTTCAAAGAAAGTTAACAATAATGCAAAGACCAAAAAAAAATTAAAAAAAAACAATATAAAAGCCATCCAAAGACTGCCTCAGGCAAGAGGTAAAATTATAGTGAATATTTATTGAGCACTTACCATGTACTAGAGACTCTGCCAAGAGGTTTTCATTTATTAAACTGCATAGCAAACCCATGAAGTAGGTTTCATTTAGTGAATAAAAAAACTGAGGCACTGAAAGGTGGAGAGACCCAAGTCATCTCACCAGGCGTGTCTGACACCAAAGTCAAACTCAACCACCATGCTAAACTTTCTAAGTCTGCCACTTCCCAGGCCAGGGATTGGGCAAGTCTCATGGGATGGAAACATTTCTATAGTTTTTCTATCTTGAAGTGGGGGAAATGCAGACAGGTCCCTGGGGAGATATGTAGGAGGAGGCTAGCCCAGCATCCTTGGTGGTCCTGAGGATTTGAGGCCACCTTGTGTCTCACCACAGGGCACCAGAGGAGCTGTATCCCATGAAATACTGAGTCCCAGCTAGACACAGACTCAGCTTTTGCTCACAGTGAAGGTAGACCTTGAAAATCCTCTGCAAGAGGAAGAAGTGAAACTTATAGCATGATATCCATAAGGGTGGTGTAAATCCACTCTAACTTCTTCACAAGACAGCCCATACTCACAGGGATGCTCGGGGAGGGCATACAACTGAATCAGAAAACACAGATGAACTAAAGAGAAGGGCCGAGGATGGAGTCACAAACTGAGGCATAGGATTATCTCAGCCCTGCTAAGCTGCTGTTAACAAGGGGTTGGGGAGGAACAAGTCTAGCCACTTAGCCTTATGCAGCACTGGCTGTTTTCAAAGTTGTCCTTTGATCATCCTGGATCCCATGTAGGGCAATGGATTCCTAGGATCCAAGAGGCTCCGCATGAGCAAGTGTTTCATACCTCAACATCCAGGGAAGCAGCTCTCCAACTTGAGTGTGCATCCAAGCATCCAGAGGACTTGTTAATATATAGATTCCTGGCCTCCACCCTGCCCGCTTTGCATTCAGTAGGTCTATGTTGGGGCTCAAGCACTGGCATTTCTACAAGCTCCCAGATCCTGCTTCTGCTGATCTGAAATTACTTTGAGAACCACGGCTCTGAGGCACAGAGTAGGGCTTCTCAAACTTTAGCAGGTCTGCAAATTACCTGGGCAGCTTGTGAAAAAGCAGAGTCTGATTCCATAGGTCAGGGCAGCAGCCCAAGAGCCCAAGCTCCCACAGACAACACTTTATAACAGCAATGGGCTACACCACTGATTTCCAAAATATGAACTGATTCTTCTGGATGCATATTAAAAACATAGCCTTTCAGTCCCTACTGGATTTCCAGAGTTCTGAGTCAGATACCAGCAATCTGAATTTTTAAAGATGGATGCTAGACAGATCAGGGAACTACTGGTATCGAAAGTGAGTGGAGAGATAGTTAAGTTCAGGAAG